CCATGCAGTGACCGCGATGCAACCGCTCGCCCGCTGTCCACAAATGTTCGTATGGCATTTAAGTTCTTCTGTACATTGTTAAAAGTGTAATGTATGAGGAAAGTACATTTGGCCAATGAAATGATCGATAATGAATCGAATGGATAAAAACCTCGAGAAGGCGCTGCCAGACGGGCGATTGTTGAGCCAAAATGAGAATCTACTATTTCGCAATTGACACCCGCTTCGCTTCTATTGGTATGTGAGCAATCGATACGGTCGATCACATTTGCGTTGATGCGTGTAAATTGTTAGTTCAAGACTGTTACAAGTATGGAGAGGTGTTATGAATGGATTTGAGTTGTTGTTGATCGATAACGCTTTCTATTGGTATGTGATGCGTGTAAATTAATGATACATTGATACACTGCTCATGACTATGGTTGAGGTAGTTCGGCTGGTTAGTTGTAGTAAGAGGTGATTTGGTTTTTGATTTTGCCCTCCGCTACGGTTGTTACCGTACTGGTGGGGACTCTTTCTTTTTTTGTGCGCGCGACGGTCTCCGGGTCGTCAGCTGATACTTCAGTTGGTATCAGCTGGTTTAGCGAACTTTTCGGGGTCCTTCCGCTTCCTGTTCGTAACGTTACTGATCTTGGTAGATTGTCTGCTGAACGGTTTATCTCCACTATTATTCCGAGAGGCCAGTTGGTTCTTGATGAATTACTTGTTTGATCAGTACAATATCTCCTACTCGTGGGCTTTTTGCACCAAGTTCTGGAGATGTATTGTTGAGACTCCTCTCTGCCAGGGTCTGGAGATATTCTTTGTGCCGCTGTCCTAAAACCATTCGAGCAAGTTCCGCAGGATGATGCAGTATGTGATGAGGTATTCGTGCAAATCTAAAATAGATAGCTGACCGTTATTACTGACCGATGTACTAGGTGCATCGAGGCTCGCCAGGCTGAACTGGGGATTTATGAGGTCGATAGGTTGCAAGACACGAACTTGGTCATTCATAAGTCAAGATTGGACTGATAGGTCGTGTGTTGAGTGTCGCTTCTATCTCTGACATAAGTGTTTAAAAGGCCCATATATCAGAGATCCAGCAACGGCTGCTTTTTCTTCGGCTCCTGCCCTCGACGAAGAACCATCAGGACTGTACCAACCTAAAATGCAGCCAACTGTTACGTCCGCGCCACCGATGGCTCCTGCCCTCGACGAAGAACCATCAGCACTGGCTGGAGAAACTAGTCAGTATGCTGCCTGTTTTGTCTCCTGATTTCACTGAGTCCGAGGAAAGGGAACGTTTCACTATTATTCCCGATGAGGCATTTTGTTTTTGATGCACTGACTTGTGTGCACAGTAATCAATTTTATCTCCTACTCGTGGGCTTTTTGCACCAAGTTCTGGAGATGTATTGTTGAGACTCCTCTCTGCCAGGGTCTGGAGATATTCTTTGTGCCGCTGTCCTAAAACCATTCGAGCAAGTTCCGCAGGATGATGCAGTATGTGATGAGGTATTCGTGCAAATCTAAAATAGATAGCTGACCGTTATTACTGACCGATGTACTAGGTGCATCGAGGCTCGCCAGGCTGAACTGGGGATTTATGAGGTCGATAGGTTGCAAGACACGAACTTGGTCATTCATAAGTCAAGATTGGACTGATAGGTCGTGTGTTGAGTGTCGCTTCTATCTCTGACATAAGTGTTTAAAAGGCCCATATATCAGAGATCCAGCAACGGCTGCTTTTTCTTCGGCTCCTGCCCTCGACGAAGAACCATCAGGACTGTACCAACCTAAAATGCAGCCAACTGTTACGTCCGCGCCACCGATGGCTCCTGCCCTCGACGAAGAACCATCAGCACTGGCTGGAGAAACTAGTCAGTATGCTGCCTGTTTTGTCTCCTGATTTCACTGAGTCCGAGGAAAGGGAACGTTCAGTGATTATTTACGGGGTTCCGGAGGAGGGTGCAGGTTCTCTACCTTCTCTTCGTCAAGAGCATACTGAGAAAAATGTTTCCGCCATCCTTGATGTATTGGATATTGAGGCTCGACCGGTTGAAGTACGAAGGATAGGCAAAATAAGTGATAAGCCTAGATTAACAACTGTGTTTCCATTGTAAGAAAATTTTGTTCGAAGCTCTGTCGAAAGCGAACCGCCTTCGTTCCTCACCTATGTTCAGCAGGTATTTATAAGGAAATCAATGACGGCAGAAGAAAGAACAACGAACAGAACGTGACTTGAGGAAACTGGCATTTGAGCTTAATCGTGATGAGCACAATGGTAATCCTGTGTTGATAGTGTATCGGGGTCAGATTGTC